ACCGGCGCCCCGCGGCCGCCCGGCCGTTCCCCCCGCCCGCGGGCTCCGCTATTTACGGCCGCGCCGCGATCAAACTCCAGGGACGAGAGGAGATAACGGCCGGGCCGCGGCGCGGGCGGCTCCCGGGAGGGGGGTCCCGCCTTCCCCGGTGCCCCCGGGCGGGCTCAGAGCGGCCTCGGCCTCCGCTTCATCCCCGCACCTCCCTGGGGGGCCGCGGGGGCCCTTCTCAGGAGCTGCCACCATGGGGGCCGCCGTCAGAGCGGAGGTTCCCCCAGCCGCCCTTGTCCCATGCCGGTCCCCCCCGGCCTCCCCTGCCCCACACACGTCCCTTCTGGCTGCTCCTTCCCCAAACATGTCCCTCCGGCCTCCTCTGCCCCATGCCGGTCCCCCCGGCCATCCCGTGCCCCCCACATCTGGGCCTGGGGTCCGGCCCCGCTCCCGAGGCCACACCACGTCCACCTCCACCCGCGATGGCACCGGGAGGCTGCACAGGACAACAAGGGCYGCGGGGTGGCCGTGTCCCCGGCGCTGGTCCCGGTGTACGGCACTCGCTGCTGCCGCGGCGCTGAGGMGGCCCCGCGGGAGCTGAGGGACCCCAGGACACGCTGAGCTGCAGCAGTGCCCGGCTTGGCTCCGTCCATCCCGACACTCCCTCCTCATCCGTCCGTCCCTGTGCGCCCCGCTGCCCCAGCCCACTGCTGTCCCCAGGTGTCCCCAGGTGTCCTGCTGCCTGGCCCTGTCCATCCCGCTGCCCCATCCCCACTGGTCCCACTGCTGTTCCTGGACCTCCTGCCCCCGGCTCGCCAGCCACTGCAGCTCCAAGTGCAGCAGCTCCGGGGGCCGCACGGGGCTGGCAGCGCCCAGCCGCAGCGTCGCCTTCGCAGGCATCCCGGGATCATCCCGCGATCGTCTGGCTGCAGTACCGGCTGAGGGCCGGGCTCTGGTGCCAGCCCCTTCCCGGGGCTCTGTCCATGGGGTCCCTCTGCTCCCTGAGCCGGTCCCAGCTGCCCTACATGGCCAGGGCCAGGGTGGGCACGGGCGGTGCCACCAGGCTCACAGTGACACACAGTGTCCCCGGGGTGCTCCACAGGGCTGCTCCCTGGGGATGGGACAGACTGGAGCCTGGCTCCCAGGGGACAGGGATGAGCCTGGACCCCGAGGGACAGGGGTGAGCCTGGATCCCAAGGGACAGGAATGAGTCTGGATCCCAAAGGACAAGGATGAGCCCGGCTCCCAACGGACAGGGATGAGCCCGTTGTGCTCGCAGGGATGGACCTGGAGAGTCCAGTGTGCTCCAGCTCCTGCAGCGCTGCCCTGCGCTGCCTGCTGCTGCTCCCAATGCCCAGAGCTTCCCATGTGGCTGGGATGCCCGCGGTGCCAGCAGTGCCTGCAGTGCCCACGACATCCACGGTGCACGGTCCACGTTCATGGGCAC